ATATAGGAATCAAGACTGTATGCTCACTGCCAGTTTCATGTAATCTTCAGATCATTGCAATGAAACATTGAAACTGACAGTCATCATGCAGTGTTGATTCTTATATCCACACATATATATATATATATATATATATATATATATATATATATATATATAAATAAATTAATTTAATTAGAAAACAGACAACTTTAAGGGTCCATTGATTATATTTTATTTCCCAAGAAGATGTTTTTCCTGGTTCCTCAGATCACATTTCCAAGAATAAAAAATGGTTTTAAATTTACTATACATATATATATATGCTTTTAAATATATATATATATATATATATATATATATATATATATATATATATGGTTTTAAATTTAGGGGATACCATCCTCAGCACTGTACTGAACACTTTTAGGTAAAAATAGACCAAGACTGATTCGAAGCATGTGCAAATGAACTCAACATGGCTATTGAGAAGAGCACAACACTAACCTACTCAGAATATTGCACTCACAGCAACATGAGTTTCAAATTCTCTTAAAAATATTTATACAGACAAAATACTTTATCAACTGTTTGCACACTTTTCATCCTGAAAGTTTATCTTCACTGAAAGCTGATTATATCTTGTGAATTATCTATAAAAAAATCTAATATTTATTTTTTTCTGCAATGAAAAGTTTTCCTTCAAAAATTAATTTAGTAAAGCATAGCTAAAATATTAACAGATAAGACAGAATATATTTATAAGTTATAAAACCACAAGAAAAAAATGGAAAGATTTCTAATGACATTTAATACTTTTTGCTGATATCTCATCCAACATATCACTGGTTGTATACTGTATTTATTTGTGGTTTAAATATCGCTATTACTGGTTTAAAATATTTTCTTAAGTAATTTCAATATTGATATTATTGATTCAGTTAAAATGGTCACCAAGACTGAAATTAGTCAAAGACTCTGCCTGGCCCAAAGTAGACAATATAAATCCTGTATTGACATTCCTGATGACATGAGATTTTATTATACACATTTCTATATAGTTATCTCTTTCTATTATTTCTCTCTCTCTCTCTCTCTCTATATATATATATATATATATATATATAGATAGAGAGAATGATATATATATATATATATATATATATATATATATATATAAATAATAATCACTGGCTACTTGTTTCCGACCACACTGGTCTAATAGGAGAGCTAGTCAATTCCTTGCTCAAGCACATTTATGTTTGTTCTACACCCACAGAGTCCACTTGTGCTTTATATAGCAACTACAATGAGCAAACCTTAGTTACAGTTTTTAGGAGAGAGTGCATAATCTAGCATGATTAACAGATGAACAAGATCAGTATGCCCGAATCCTCAGTCATGATAACTTGTATTTTTTTGTGCTAGCAGAACCATCGATGGGTGAGACATATATATATATATATATATATATATATATATATATATATGGTAATAAATTAAATCAAATGTTCACTTATCCTTATCATGGAGATTGCATTTACTTTTCTAGGGATTTGATTGTAAAGTAGAATTTATTTTCAGTAAAAATATTAGAATAAAGTCTCTTGAAAAATGGATGTCAGTTTGCTAATTTCAAAGTAGGGACAGAGAAGTGAACAAATTTTTTTTCTTACTAAAGTTCATCCAATATAAGGCCCAGAGGTAGAGGTTTACTGTGTGGTGTTGTATGAGTGTAAGAAAGAGCAAGTAGTGAAGTTCTTAGGGCTATGTAGGAAAGATAATGGTTAACTTTAGACTTGAAGAGGTCAAGATTTAATTAGTGAATAATTTAATTTTACTTATAAGGATTAATGTTCTTTCTCTTAATATTGACCATTATTAATACAAAGATTGATTACCTGAAAAAACATTGTTTTCCAGAAATATCCTAGTTTTTGTTTTTTGGTGAAACACAGTCTTTGTTATATATATATATATATATATATATATATATATATATATATAGATAGATAGATAGATAGATAGATAGATAGATAGATAGATGAGAGATAATGTAGAGAAAATTTTTGTTTATCTGGAAAGTAATTTCAAAATAAATTCTGATGTTTGGTCAACTGGTCAGATTTTGGATTAACTCACTGTAAAATGAACCAACTTTCTCGATGACATCTTCCAATTCTCTTCTGTTCAATGCTTAATAAACTGCACTTAGATAATGTAACACAATTAACAATTTAACCTATTTTAATTTATTTAAATTAAAGTTACTTAGTTGAAATCTAAATAGTTTAAAATTAGTCTAGGAAATAGATGATTATTTTGGGTCCAATTCTAATAATGTCAACAATAGGTAAATTGAGATTGCTAAAAATTACACTCATTAAAGCATAAATTTGTAATTTAATTATATTTATATGCCTTAATAGAAATGGTAGAATTTATTTGAACATATTCAAGATTAAAATCATTAGTGTAAGTTATCTATATATTCAAAATTAAAAATGGTAATATGATTGAAAGGAATATATCTCCCTCATGTTTTTACAAAAAAACTAAACTTTGGTCATAAGAAGTTGAAAAATACTGTGGACAATATTGTAGAGATAACTAACCTAAATCAACAGGCTTTCTTCTTTGTCTGTGACATCTTTTTGTTATTTTCTGTTCAATGTTTAATAATCTGCTATTATATTTACAGCAAACAAAATTAGCCTAAAATGCATTTCATGATTAGGGATCTTGGTTGTCATTTCAATATTGTCAGTGATAGATAATTTTGGATGAAAGATAAGATTTTTTTAAAACATTACACTGCAAAGTTTCTGTTTAACTCTCTGTTAGTACCACAGAGTGTTTGAACACACAACAAAATAAAATTATATTTAAAAAGTGGCAAGTTAAATTTTCATGATAGTCAAATAGCTTTCTGAATACTTCTGTCAATTAATTACAAGGCGTTTCTGGTTTTAATCATAATTAGACCACCCATAAACCCCTTGATTTTAAAATGAGTTACAAAACAAACAGTAGTTACAAAATAATGTGGTAACAATGTTATCAATTTTAGTATTAATTATACAGCTTTTAATTTGTATTGCAATACAAGTTATTGTAATAATTATTATTACTCACATTATACAATATTATTTAGAACAAATGCAATAATAAGTTAATAATAATTATAGTTTTATTATACATACTTGTTTTTTCCTCACATTTATTTTAAAATATGTAACAGCAGCAAATCAATGTGCATCTATTTATTTATTTACCTGCAGGTCATGTGGCACAATTTTCCTGCCATTCAGATTATGTTTTACAATGGCACACCCACATAGCATCTTGCCAAACATCCAAGATATTTGCTTATAAAAAAGGTTCTCATGTTGTGTAGTGAATTGTGTAAATGTTGTGTTATGCATATCTAAATTATCTAATGTTATAATGTATTATGTATGTTTATTATTTTTCACACACTTAATAATTGGAATATAATATGCAAATGTTTCTTTATATATTTAGGTTGATATAAGAATGTATATTGAAAACAAATATTGAATTTTCTATTAAAAATGCCATAAAACAGAAAAATGACCCCAGCTCAAGAACCCTTTATCTAATTTTAATGAAATTTGATATAGCACTTGGCAGACGTTCATGGTACAATATGCCCCTAAATTAGTTGGGGTATTATGCACTGTTTAAGATGTAACTTTGGAACACACATACATACAAGATTAGAGTTTTAGTATTAGACATTTGTACAAATTATAGCCACATGACTGTAAAGTAAAAACTGTAATAACTGTGGTAGAAAAGTATGTAAAGATTAGAGTAACTTTCTTGTTCATTGCTAGGAATGTGAAAAATAAAACAGTTGAGGAGGCATCAGATTGATCAGAAATTGTTTTAAAAGATCATAATGATAATAAAATGAAACCTATTTTTGACTTATATGTGAAGTTTTTAAATTTACCAATTCATTTTTAAATATTAGCCTTTTAATTTTTCATTTTTATTTATCTTATAAAAACCCCAGAAAGAATGCCCAAGACAAGAAAATTAAGAACTGAATGATATATCTCTAATATTTTAAATGGGTTGTTTGGAAACCCCTGCTATAGTAATGCTGTGACAATGTTTCACAGTATTAAGAGAAGGTTAAGAGAATAAGCTTAGAAGCTTGAAAGTTCTCAAACATAGATGTAATTTTTACACAAATTGGAATCAAATATTTAAAACAAAAGAAAATTAGTAAAAAAACATCAATTGTTCAATAAAACCTGCTTGACCCTCTCTATTAGTACCATGATGTGTTTGAAGACCCCAGAAAATGTTTTTCCTTAATATTTAACAAGTGGTAAATCAAATTTTCATGATTAGTCAAGTAGCTTTTGGAATATTTCTGTCAAATAACTACAAGGTGTTTTTGGCTTTAGTCAAAATATTTGGACAAATTACAATTATATGACTTTACAGTAAAAAGTGTAATAACTGTGGTAGAAAAGTATCCAAAGATCAGAGTAACTTTCTTGTTCATTGCTAGGAATGTGAAAAATATACCAGTTGAGGAGGCATCAGATTGATCAGAAATTGTTTTAAAAGATCATAATGATAATAAAATGAAATCATTTTCTGAATTTTTGAAATTTATAGATGAATTTTTTAATATTCGTTTTTTAATTTAATTTTTTTGTTTTTATCTATTTTATAAAAACTAGAAAGGACACTCAAGACAATTACAAAGTAAATGATATATCGATAAAATTTTAAATGGAGTTTTTGAAAACCCTATGGTACTAATGCAGTACCAATACCCCACAGGACTAATAGAGACTTAAATCAATTAAGTATTTATCTCTTAATTATCTTGAGATAGACAGAAAAAAGAAAGAGAAGAAATCAGCTCTTTCTCAATAAACTTATCTTGAGATAGTCAGACTAAAAAGAAAAAGCAGTCACTTCTTTCTCACTTAACTAGTAAAGAAGAGATAAATGCATCTTGATTGTTTTCTTACCTGATACATGACATCTGGGCTGGCTTGCTGATCCTTTACTGAAGCTCCAAGGTGACACTCTCTCCTGGATGTTGTTAATTGAGTGTTCTTGGACATATCTGGATCCTTTATACGTGTGGATGGAAGATCAGTACAAGAAGTAGCCAGGTAAGAAGGATACATTAACTGTCTCTGTTCACACTTGGTCGAAGAATGCATTCGATTGCGATGTGATATGTTTTTGCGGTTTGAGAATTTCAGATAACATATTGAAATGATTGCTGTGATGACAACGGATACTGATACAGCCACTGAAACAATAACAATCAGAAAATCTAGTTGTATCTTCTCATAGGCTTCATCAGTCTGCACGTGCACAGCATTTAGCATTTCAAATGTCTTGTTGCTCACAGTGAGTGTCAAAATCAGTGTAGTTGTTGCTGACAGAACTGGAGTACCGCTGTCCTTGACCACAAACTCCAGCTCATAGGAACCAGCATCTTGTTGGGTGAGCACCCGGGTAAATGTTAATAAACCAGTATAATGGTTAATGGTAAACAATTGCTTATCATTGCCAGCAGTTATTTCATACTTCAGAAAAGCATTTTCTTGGCTGTCTCGGTCAGAGGCTTTCAAAACTGTAATGTTCTTTGTGTAATGGGGATAGTATAACACGTCCAAAGTATATGGATTAATACTGGGAAAAGTGAAATAAGGAGCATTATCATTTTCGTCTTTTACCTCAACAATGACATTAACTGTATTGTTCAGTGGCGGCTTACCATTGTCTTTAATCAGAACTTGAAATCTATAAACATCCTGAAACTCATGATCCAGAGACATAACAGTTGATATTAGTCCATAGTCTGTTATCTGGAAAGGAAGAAAGTGTTTATCATTGGAAAGTAGAGAGTAGGACAATTTACCCCCTGGTCCCAAATCAGGATCGGTGGCATTTATAAAACCCACAGAATATCGTGCATTCTGGTTTTCTTGAATCCAAAACTTGAAGGTTTTTTTTGATATTTGTGGTTGCATGTCATTGACATCCATTACCTGGATTAGAAACTTGGTCTCACTATGAAGGGGTGGTGTTCCATTGTCCTGGCAGACAATGGTAAGGCTATGGTGTTCTTCTGCCTCCCTGTCTAATGGCTTTTTGACAATTACTTTGTATTTCTTTGTGCCCAAACTTTGAAGTTGAAATATATCATGATGTAGTATACAGTTAACCTCTCCATTCTGTCCAGCATCATGGTCAGTGACTCTTACATAGGCAATAAAACTGCCAACTTCAATATCCTCTGGAATGGTTACTGTGTTTCCTGTTGATGCTGAGACAAAATTAACATCTATTGTTGGGGCATTGTTCTGCTGGTTGATCACATTCACTAGAACCAAAGCTATGGAGCTTAGTGGGGGAGTACCTCCATCTGTTGCTTCCACATATAATTTATTTGTTAACTCTTGCCCTAATGTAAACCTCTTGCTCAGAAATATCTCCCCAGTTACTTTGTTTAACTTAAAGTGGGCCTTGGCTACATCAGAAGTCTTTGAACTGAAGTGATAAGTTATTCTGCCAAATTCCCCAGAATCTAAATCCCTGGCTGACAGAATGAGTATTGCAGATGTTTCACTTGGTTCATTCTTTATAGAAACATTGTAGACTTTTTGAGAAAATATTGGTAAATTGTCATTAACATCCGTGATATCAATGTGAACATCCAATGTGCTTTGCTTTGGCGGTGAGCCTCCATCCTTAGCAATAACTTGGACATCATAAAAATCTTTAAGTTCCCTGTCTAGATCATTTTCTAAGTTTATAAAAAGCTGTGAAGTTCCATCTACACTTTTGGAAACTGACAGTGTAAATGGTTCATGCCTTTTCTTTTTCAACATGTAAGTAATCTGTGAATTCTGTTCCCCAATATCTTTATCAATGGCATTTGGTATCAATCTTCTTGCCTCTTTTCTATCATCCTCTGAAAATTCAATATTCACCTGCTTTACAGGAAATTCTGGTTGATGGTCATTAACATCTTTAAGTCTCACTTTGACTTCAATAATTTTCATAAAGGACGTTGCCTTCTTCACAGCAATTTCTACCATTCGGAAGCATTCTGTGTTGTGCTTGCACATTGATTCTGTGTCAAGGGTGTGAATAGTATAAAGTTTTCCTGTCTTTTTATCAACACTAAACAATTGGGTGCCACTAGCCTGTCCTGAATCAAGTTGACTGAATGTGATCAGGTTGCGATCTTGGCGTGAAACACTGTCTAGAAAATGTGAATCAGCTGCCACGTTGCCCACCAAAGTGCCAGGCCCTTTGCCTTCCTCCACATCATAGGTAAGGTCTTCACACACAACACAACTGGACAGCACACACAGTACCAGTAGACACACCTGTAGCAGCATGCTCTTTGTTGATGATGTCACAAGAAGCAATTGTAAAATCCATCCAGAGCAAAGATGTTGACCAAAATTCTCGTTGCATCTGAAGAATAAAAAAGAAAATCAAAATAAGACATAAAATTGCTATTGGTAAACAATTATTAGCGAACAGATTCTAGTGTCTTATCAATTGGTTGTTGGGGCTATATCTGTACAGAAGAGTCACCAAGTTGATTTTTTTTTCTGAAGCAAATACTTTTAAAAAATAACAAATAAATAGATCAAAGTGTATATAACACTCTAATTCTGCTGGGCACAAATTATAAGACAAAATGTTTTAAATCTGCATTGTTTATTGAAAATGACACTAAAACTATTGTACTGTATAATATATTACATCATAATATAGTTAAATTGTTCAATATAATTTCCCCTTTTAAGTAAATGAAGGTCTTATTTGATGACACAATGATTTAGTAATAATGTGCTTGTGTCATTCATCTTGTCCATATAAAATTTGTAAAGCTTCAGAAAATTATAAATTTTATAAGATTGTGCTGTAAGGCTTTCACTGATCACTGGAATTAAATTGCAATGCTACAATTTTGAACCTAAACTTAATCTTCAAACTGGTTTCCTCAAAAAACGGTAATGAAAAAAATATTTTGTGTCATTATTTATCAAACCCCAACTTTCAAATTGAGTGCAATACCATGTTTTGAAAATCAACATGCTCTATTGAGCATAACAGGAGGAGTCAGGTACTTACTGGCATGGTAGAGGGAACCAACCATTTTCCCAGCATCTTTAGTGATGGATTGTATATGCGAATTCCACTTGATATCTGGGGTGAACTTGTCTCAATAGGCATTCAAGGCAAGAGACCTCCTTGAGAGAACACCTGTTCATTGCAATTGCTTAGCTTAATGTTGGTCACAGAGAGGATTGATCTCATTACAGAGTAGTCATGGTCTGCTAGACTAGCCTACAATCAAGCAGTTTATTGATTGGTTGTTTTTTTTTATCTAATTTAATATTTATTATTTTGTTTTTTATCATTGGTTATATTCTCTGCAGATCAGCATTAGGCCACATCATGTAAGAACAATGTGTTTCATAAATGGCCTCACACTTATGAAGCTTTACTTTTGCTTTTATAATTCTTGAGAATTTTTGACCATGATAGAGAAGCAATAAAATACAATTACACTAAAGCATTTACTGACAATTTTGGTGCCTATATTATTCTAAAAAAGACAAAAAGCAAATAAATACTTCAAAGTAGATCAAATATCCAGTAAAAAACTGGATATTTTGAAATGTTTGTTTTGCATTAGGAAATCCTGATGAGAGAAAATATGAAAAATATATAAATACTCAATACTTCATTAACCAAGTAGATATTGTGGTTTATTTTCTTACTATTTTTTATAATAAATCATCTTCAGTAAATTTGATAGTAAAACATCTGTAATGACTTTCACGAGAAAATTATCTGAAATGCATTTTCTATTAAATCAGCTATAATGTATTTTTATAGTAGATAATTTGCTATGCATTTCATACTAAATCATTTGCAATACATATTCACAGTACACTGTCATGCAGTTTCAAGTTGAATCATTTGTAATCCATCTTCATAGTAAAATACCTACAATTTTCATAGTAAAATTTAAATGTAATGTCAGTCATTATCTACTGTCTTCTTGATTACTCTTCTATTGTTCTTGCTCCTTAATAATGTTTCTCTTTTTCCTTATTCTTTCATACTCTCTAACCCCTTGTCTTAGTGGCTTTACTTACTGTCTTGCATGTGGTGATATGATTAAAAATAAACTTATTTACAAAGAATTTTAATAGTAAATCTGTTGCAATACATTTTCAATGAATATCTGTAATAGATCATTTCAAGTACATTTTCATAGTAAAATCATTTATAGTGTATTTTCATTGTAAATATTTTGCAATTCATTTTCATAGTAAATCAGCTTCAATGTAATTTAAATATAAATCCTCTGCCATACATTTTTATGTTAAATAACTGGAGAAGAAATGCTAAATTTTAAACCTTTAATTTGATCATTCACCCAGTTCCTTCTTCACAGAATTCACAACATAATGCTAATGTTAGAAAAGATAAAAATTAGAGAGCTGAAAGAAATTATTTTCTATGAAAGAGAGGAGACTTTTTTTTGGCTAATCCTAGCTGAGAAAACTCTTGAGATATACTTTCTTTATAAAGTGATATTTTAACCTGTGTTATTTTTATTAAGGTGACTCATTTGAAGTTAGTCTTTTTGCTTGATTAATAGTTTCACGTTTGTTATTCTAATCCAAATGGCAATCAAAATAGGGAAAAGATTTTATTGCTTAGTCAATAATCAAATAAACAAATCAAGAAAACTGGGAGGAGTGGCCTACTAACACAGGAAATATCTAATTTTTAAATACAATGTAACTAAATCACTAGTATACACATTTACTACCTAATATAGAAAAGCTATGTGCAAGAAAATATGTTCACATTTTATCTACAGATATTAAAAACAGTTTGGTCTGACACAAGGACATACCAGAAGAGTATCCCTGGAAAATGAATACATTAGAAATGGTTTCTGTTAATTAGTGTTCAACAGCTTAAAAAGAAGTTGACAGTACATTTTTACTAAGCTTAGTTTAGTCTGGCACAAGGTCATAAAAGAAGAGCGCCCGCCGAGAAGAGAATATAATAGTAATAGTCTGTTAACCATTATTAAATGTTTTAAAAAGAAACTGAAAGAACATATGTACTAGGTTTAGCTAGTTCTGACACAAGGCCATAACAGAAG